GGCTGGTGTCCACCCCCGGGTCTGGAAGGCGAGTTTTCCGCCTCCACCGCCCGAGATGGGACTCCCACGGAAGAGGATTTATGAGTGTTTGTTTTGTTTTGTAGCGGGATGTGGGAGGGCTGGAGTGAACTAGATGCGGAAGAGATTATCTGCAGTGGAAACTGGGAAGTCAGGGAAAAGAAGGTGTGTTCCTGGAGCAGCCTGTGGTTCCGACCTGATCGGCCCGGCCGGCTATCAGCAGGAGCCTCTGCCGGCGCGGGCTGTCCACGCCTCGCCCCCGGGAGCTTGTGTTAAATACGGTAACCACAGTGTTAGCCCTAGGATTATAGATGATTATTTTTTAAATATTTTACTTTCCAGTTTTCCTAAAACATTCATCATCTGAGTTATTGTAAGAACTAATTGGCTTTATGAAGTAGGAGGACTCTTGAAATTTGTAAAATATTTTCCTAAGACACAATGGGAAAGCTGTAAAGAATTCTAATTAAACAAAAACTGTGGTGGAGCTTTTCATAAATCAGGGCGACTTTGTAACTGGCACCAGCAGCCTGTATTTTCATAAAGTTAGAAACGTCCTTCGACACAAAGTTATAACTGGAATCCTCGACCATCCCTCCATCCCCCTCACAAACAAAAAAGACAGAGAAAGTAATTTTCCACCCCAAGATGTCTTTGAACTGATTTGAGTTCAGAAGACTGAAAGGCAGTGATTCCCAGGAACCCTGCATTCTTCCCTTCCCCCAAGAAATGAAGCTAGGAAGCCTTATGTAAAATCAGGGCTTAGTAAGGGGCGATGGTTCCTTTCCTTTTGCTTTATTTTCTTTTTAAGGGCCCGGTTATCAGATTACAACAAATTGTGCAAAGTCTCTGACGTGACACATCTGTGGATGTACCTGAACTGCAAAATTCTTTAAGGTCCCTTGGTGGCTGCTTTTTGTTTGCAATCTTTGATAATTTTCCCAATGAATCTGCAAAATTAATTTATAGAATTCTCCTAAATCTCTAGCCCAGGTTTCTTCCTCCCATTGCCTCAAATTTAATCCACAGTTTCCTGGAATACTGTGAAACAGTAGAGTATTAGTTCTCATTAACACAATATTTATTGGTATTTATGGAGTATTAGTTCTCATTAACACAGTACTTAACGATTTATACAGTAAATTAGATTGAGTGTGAAGTTTTAGATAGCCCAGATTTACCATTTTCTTGGGAACAAAGGTGTCTTTCACTTACAAATGGGCATTTTTCTTTAGCATCCATTAGGTATTCGCCCAGATATTGGCCTTTGTCAAATAATAAACAGTCGAGTAAGTGTCTAACTAAAACTAAAAATAATTCCATGGAGTGTGATTGTATGATTGCCAAACACCTTTCATGTTATGTCGTTAAAGTACTGCTTGATCATCTCTATAGGTTTGTGTCAAAGAGGGCTGGGATTTTATGAATCCCAAGAGTTTTATCTGAACAGTCTGCATATATAAAAGTTGTTTAGCCTGGTGCAGAGATACCCATGAGGCCGTGGACCTCTGCATTCTTGTCTTTGCCAATCAATAACAGCCATCTTTCATGCTGCCACAGGTTTTAGAAACTGGCAAGGACCAGAGAACAGGCTGTACAGGTTTGCCAGGCAGCACTAGGATGCCCCAGCAGTAAGGGTGCAGGAGCTGGGCAGCTGCTTCTCACTGCAGTCGTCCATGCAGGTCTGGTTAAAGAAGCTCTGCTGGTATTACTGGGAGGATTTGTTGGGGCTGTCTTCTGAACCCTGGGAGACCAAGGAGAAGAGGTGATTTGTGTGAACCTTGTTGTTTCTTGGCTTCCAGGAGAACCAGAGCTGGGTTGCTAAAATGGTGTCATTGGTTACCAATGGCACTTTAAGAGCCAAAGGAGATGGTGCTGCTGGGGTGTGGAATTTGCCAGGAGAAAGTATGGCTGAAGCCTGAGTTTGCTTAGGAGGTATTCCTCCATTTGACCCTTGAAACTTTGAGTCACTGGCTTGTTTTCACTGAGTCAACTTATGTATTATGTGTTCGGGATAGGTTTGGAAGACTGTGTCTTAGTTTTTCTTAATTTTTAACATTTCTTGTCTGTAAATCTGTGTGATGACCTTGAAGTGAAAGGTGAGGTTGCTATAAAGCTAATCAGATGCTGTGGGGACATGGTACTGTATTCTGTTCCTGGACTGGAGATTATGAAGGAGCTGAACTTTTCGGTGTCTGCTTAGGTGATGGTCAAGGTGAATTGCATGGTGATAGAACCCTGTTAATAGCAAGGTATCCTGGATGGTGCATATTATCTTCTTTATCGTCTAAGCTTTGTACATCAAGTTCTTGATCGAAATGTGCCCTGTCTTGTAGAATTGCAAGATGAACTGGAACTGTACTGAGAGTGGTAGCTGCGTGTTCTTGTCCAAGACTTTTTTCTTGCCTCCAGGATAGAATCTGCATGTAGGTGACATTTAGCTTATAATTGGATCCAATTGAATCTTCATCTAATTCTGAAGCACTTAACTCACTGTTTATAGAGAATTGAGGACAGAGTGGAGGATTTGTGTCTAACAAACTTTAGAAGTTACCTGAGTTTCCATTAAGTGTAAACTGTTTGACTCTGGTGAGATGGGGTGTTGAGGATGGAGGATTGAAGCCACTGCTATATGGGTTACTAGCACTTGGACTGTAAGAACTTGTGTAACTCACAAAGTTGAAAGGATTATTGTACAAATTCTGCCTGGAGAGTCTGATAAAGTTTGTGGATAAAGGACTTTTTAGCATATTCAACCTCAGGAGGTGGGTAATCCACAACTTGCCTGTACCAAACTAATGGACGAACCGTTTCTGCATTGGTGTAATTTTTTTTTGTACAGGAGATTGAACTCTGGTCCTTACGCTTGCAAGGCAGGCCACTGAACCGCTGAGCTAAATCCTCGGCTATGGTGTAAGTTTTTTCTTTGGTGATGAATACAGCCAGCTCTCCTCCTTCCAGTCTCACAGGCACTCCCTCTTGTCTGGCTGCAGAGGCTCCACCTTGTTCTGCAAGCCGCCCTCTCACCACCAGCAAGGAGGTGGCGTCCTGCAGCTCCTTGCCCGCGCTGCAGGGCCAAGGGAGCCTGCGCTCTTCACAGCCCCCAGCGGCCCCTCGGCTTCTTCACCAGCTCCTGCAGCTTCTGCACCTCCTGGTCTGCGTTCACAATGCAGTTAACGTCCTCCATCCCGGCCCTGCCGCCAACAGCTCAGACTCACGGAGACAGGGAAAGAGTCGGAGGAAAGAGGCATCCGTCCTAGAGCACTAGGAGGCTCTGCCGCCAGGGTCTCCCAGCTGGGGCTGCGAAATTCGCTGGCCTCACCCAAGCCTCTTCATCTGCACCCGCTCTGGGAGAGGCGGCCTCGATTTAGGGTTTTGTACGTCACATGCTGTATATGTTCTTTCTCACTCTGGTCTCTGTTCTGTTTTCCAGACTTAACTCCTTTTTCTGAAGTTCTCTTTTTTTTAGGTCCCCCAATCTGGTGTTTCCTGACAGAAGGACGAACACTTGTCTCCTCATTTTCTTCTTGGGTCTTGCAAATGTGAGAGCCTCAACTCAAGACTGCTGAGTCAAAGCTGCTG